TCAACCAAGCAAACATTGTCAGTTCACCATCTTCCCTTTGGAGTCCTCGATCTTCGCTAAGACTGGCAGGTCTCAGCGTGCGCACTTTGCCACAGGTTGGCCAACATACAGTACTTGCCCGAACACTCGAGAACCTCTCGATCGATATTTGCTGTTTATGGAAAACCCGTATGCAATGTTCGAGCTCTGTGCTTACTCTGCGTTCCCCACATGCAAAACTGGCAACACGTTATCATTGCGCCTGTCTGGCGATGATGCATCTACAAATGCAGCTCAAGCTGGTGTCGGCATTGTTTTGACTCCCCGAGCTTAAGCTGCCCTGAACGACTGGATTCTTGTCAACAGCCGGATGTGCGCCGTTAGGTTGGCTGGCACGTTCCAGCCCTCGAAGTCGCACGGGGACAAACGGTGCCTGTTTGTCATTGCGGCTTACGCCCCCACAAACTGCAGCCCTGGTTCGGTGAAAGCTGATTTCTATCACCAACATAACGAGCTTCTTCGTTACAGAAGAAGCAGGGATATTGTAGTGCTTGCTGGTGATCTAAATGCGCAAGTCGGAAAATTGGCTTCTGATGAGCTTCAACTGGGCGGCCAACATGGTAACGGCTCCCGTTATGCTAAAGGCGAGCGGTTGCTACACCTGTGTGATGGTGCTCGTCATTTCCCGCGAGCACAAACATCCGACAAAGCACAATCAGAAGAGTGACTTGGTGCCTGTGACTGGGCTGGAAATGCTGGTGCTTGGAATTGCTTTAGTGCCGATCGAACGTCACAGACCAGACCGATAGGGAGTGAGCATGTTTCCGGAAGCAGATTGCTCAGCCAATCAGGAAATAGTTTGCCCGTTATCGCGTCCATCCTGCAACCATTCACTGAACGTGCAAGTGACCAATCAGGCGCCAGCAGGCGAAGGAGCGCATACTCGTGCACCCTTGAGCCAAGGCTTGTGGCATTGGACGAGGGAAGAAGCGCGCGGGCCTAATCCCGCCAATCGTACATCCACTAAGAAAGTCGAAGTGCTTTTAGACAGAGTGAACGTGGCGAGCAAGCATAAACCACTGGAAAATGAGCCAGCGACACAATGCAAATAACTGGGATGAGCCATTGAAACGGACTGTTGTAAATAGTGTATATACTCTATAAATATTCGAGCGTAATCTTAATAAACGACTTCATGCTCGCGGCCCAGTCTTCTTGCTCTCCGGAGGGCCACACGACATGGCGACCGAGGAGAAGAAACCGCCGAGCCGAAACCCGCTCGTTTTTGGTGGACAGCCGTTAATCACTCTGCCGACCGCTCTGCTGATGACTGAATGCATGCTGCCAGAGAACTGGAGAATGTGGAAGGCGAAGTGGGGGGATTTCCTTACCCTGAACCAGTTGAATACTTAACTAATGGCATACCGGTTGGCGATGTTTAGGCACGCTGTGGGTGATGAAGCCAGGAGGGTGCTCGAAATATTGAAGCGCAGTGAGGAACGTGAGGAAGTCGAACTTTTGGAAGTGCTGAGAAGATTCGGGGTGTGTTGTGAAGCACAGGTAAATGAAACGTAGCGGAGGTATTTATTTTTTGTTCGCGATCCATCCCCAAGCGAGTCGCACGAGATAACAAAACAGAACTTAGACGGTTAGCGCGGAACTGCAACTTCTACAAGTGCATGCGAGACTCCTTGATATTTGCTCGTATTGTCATTGGCATAAAGAATGATGAGCGCACTCGGCGCCTTCTGAGACAAAGGAAGCTGTCTTTGGAACAACGCGTGGACGTCTACCTGAGTGAAGCAAAGACGGCGCAGCAGTTCGAGCATGTGAGAGCCGAAACAAACACCGATCTGTGCGCGGTATCCCGAACCAGCAATACTCCGCTCCAGCCACCCGAAGGACGGGATCCGAGTTATCAGTTTTGCGGTCGTGTACATCCAAGAAAAAGGAGAGCTGCCCAGCTTGGGGTCGAACGTGCACAAACTGTTCCAAGAAGAACCATTTTGCTCGCTGTTGCAGCTCCGCTAAGTCCAGCCCAGTAGTCTAGAGCATGCACGAACAGTTACAATAGTTTTTTGTAAGCAACTTGGAAAATCGTGAAGAACACAAGTGTGTTTTTGCAATGCTTTTGATTCGAGGACGACCGGTGCGTTTCCAACTGGGCTCAGGGGCTACTGTCAACATCCTACTTGTGAAGCACTGTGTGGGCATGACATGCGACAGGACGCAGAATTGCCTCAGGATGTGAAATAGTTCAAAGCTGCTGTCGAAAGCCACTGCTACGTTGAAGGCCATCAATCCGAAAAACGGAACAGAACACCAACTCGATTTCCTGATAGTCTCAGAAGACCGTATACCCATTTTGGTTATTGACTCTATTCAGCGTCTCGGTTTTGTCTCTTTTAACTATGAAAGTTTCGTCCATTCGTGGGAAGATAGCATAGATATTGTTGACAGCTACCCGAGGGTGTTTGACGGGGTCGTAGGGAGATTAGATGGGCCTGCTCATTTATCTTTAATCGAATCCGCTAAGCCGGTAGGATTGCCGACCAGAAAGGTGCCTGTTGCATTACGCGAGAAATGTTTAGACGAGCTGCAGCGTCTTGCTAGTTTGGGTGTAATAGCCAAATTTGAGGAGCCGACAGACTGGGTTAGCCAGGTGGCGATCGTTACTAAGAATCTGGAGAACAACGCGTGTTCATTGATCCAAAACCACTTAACGCCGCACTCAGGATGGAGCATTATACGCTACCGACGGTAGTCGACGTACTTTAGGCGCTATCCAGGGCTAGAATATTCACTAAAGTCGACCTTGCTTCTGCGTTTTGACATGTATTACTTAACGAAGAGTCAAGCTACCTGACTACTTTTGGGACACCATTCGGGCGTTTCCGCTGGCTTCGTTTACCGTTTGGACTGAAGGTATCTATCGAAATATTCCGGAAACAACTGGTGCAGGCTTTAGACGATTTGCCAGGAACAATCTGTGTAGCAAACGGCGTTTTGGTTTTTGACGCAACGCGAGAGGAGCACGACCGGAAGCTTCACCGATTTTTGCAGCGCTGTTTTGAAAGGGACATCAATCTAAAACGAGAGAAGATCGAATTGCGTAGGCCGAAAATAGTGTTTCATGGAAACGTGTTAAGCTCCGAAAGACTGCAACCAGACCCAGAGAAAGTCAGGGCCATCAAACAGATGCCTCCTCCTAATAACATAAAAGCCGTTAACAGGTTGAATGGGATGGTGAAGTACCTAAGTTGTTTCTTGTCCAGATTAGCTGATGTAATGGTACCGATACGAAAACTGACGCAAAAGAGTGGGAGTGGCATTGAGACGCGGAGCAGGAGGGTGCATTTCAGAAACTAAAGGAATCGACCACGAGCGCCCCCCTTCTCGCTTCCTATAACCAAGCACTTCCCCTCGAGATCCAGAGTGACAGCAGTCAGTATGGTATCGGAGTCGTACTCATGCAGAACAGTAAGCCTATCGACTTCCGCAGCCGGACGCTGCCAGAGACCAAACGCCATTACGCGCAGCTAGTGAAAGAAATACTTGCATTGGTTTACGCCATGAAGCCTTTCAATGACTATACGTTTGGCCGCAAATCCACCGCCTTTACCGACCACAAGCCCCTAGTGTCGCTCGCCAGCAAACCGCTCCATGTTGTTCCACACCGCCTGCAAAGGATACTTATTCGTCTGCAGAAGTATGATATAAAGATTGTCTACCGGCCAGGACCCCAGGGGCACATTGCGGACACGCTATCAAGAGCGCACCTGTCAGACACGCCAGGGAAGAAAGCAGACCCAGATTTTGTCCATGCTACACAGCTGATCGCCCTCACTGAGGAACGCTTGCACCATTTCCAACGATACACTGAGAAGGACGAATTGTGTAGGCTACTGAAGCACCCGATCATGTACGGATGGCCTGAAGACAAGAAAAAGTTACCAAAGGAGCTGACTCCATTCTTCCAATCTCGTGACGAGCTTAGTACTCAGGATGGATTAATATTCAAAGGCAACAGGATAGTGGTTCCAAATACACTGCAGCGTTCGATGCTGGGGCTGATACATTGTGCACATTTAGGAACCAACAACTGCCTGGCAAGAGCTAGAGAGCTGTTGTTTTGGCCCGGAACGACCAGCCAACTACGTGACTACGTCTCCAATGGTGTAGCATGCACAGCACACGACGTACACCAGCCAAAAGAACTGATGCCATAAGTTAATTGGCGGCTCGAGTTTGGTAAGCTCGTCGCTTGGTGAGGGGGCTATCCTGCCCTCTGTACGGCATTAACGTGTAAGTCAGTTGATAGTGAGCGGCGCTATAGCACATCTAGTAACTAATTCACGATCGTCGTTGCCGTCTCCCTTAGCTCAGTTGCCACAACCACGGACTGGCAACAGTCGAGTTGCGGGTTCGAGCCCCACCAGGGTCAGATGAAATACGCACTGCTGACGATTCCCGAAAGGATGAAACGCGCGTACAGTAGTTTTCTGGGTGCGTGTCGGCTGTCTGAGTGAGTCTAGATGTGACGAATTTCTACCTAATTCATATATCTATTGGGGAGCTCTGGGCTGGTCACCTGGCTCTTCATCAACTACCACACGAGCTCGTACGGCTCTGCGTCAAAGCCAATGTGGCCGGCTATAGTGTCAGTAACCACTCACTTCTGTAACTAGAGATGAGTACCTAACAGAGGGCGGGTAATCAATCTTGCAGGCCACCGGCATCTCTGTGGACCGCTATCGAACACAAAGAAAGCGAATGATCCACCCGGCTGTCAAAGGTCTTAGTGAATCGCCCCGCTATCTTGCGGGGCTGCACGTACAGCTGCTAACATTCACCCCCTCACATTGAACATCGTAACGATGCTCCTAGATATTATTACCGTTGAAAATCATAATTCCTCCTTGTAGCATATACACATCCGATTGAGCCATACAGAAATTTTTGCCTTTAGGCTGCTCTGGTCTTGATATTGTATCGCAAAAACCATTTTCCTTCTTCTACAGACCAGATGGTGGAATCCAGTTTCGCGTCAACCTGCCAAAGATGAACGCTGATTGGACGGCGGCAGCGTTTGCCATCGACGGTGATTCAGGCCTGACCCTCATGCAACAACCTTATCTGTTCTCGGGTCTGCGACAGTTCTACATGACTGTCGAGGCAGTGGAAGAAGCCGTATGGGGCGAGCAACTGGGTGTCCGAATTTGCCTTTTCAACAATTGGAACTACTGGCTTGAGGTAAAACTTTGACGTCATAAGTTGTTTATGGGTATAATCGTTGCAGCGTATCAACTACTGATAACCTAGTCGCATCGTCAAGTGATTTTGGCTAGATTAATGCTTTGGCTCACTTGAACTGCACTTTCTGGATATAATCGCGTTGAGAAAATCTTTGAAAACTTGCCTTGTTTCCCCACTTCTAGTGCGCATTTTCCAAAGCCCTCTCTTCCTCATACAAATATTTTAGGTGAACAGTTGTCCATCCGCACCCGAATTCCTCAATGGATAGTAGTCATGCACTTATGAACCGTCGTAAATGTAATAGCATGACGAACTGATCTGCAAAGATATCAGGAAACAATACGTAGCCCCGGGCATCCAAAGCAGCTGAGTAATGGTACCTGAAGTGTCCCAACTTGAACATGAGTACTTTTAGGAAGTAGGAAGCTATACTGTGAACTTCAATGCTTGAGGTACAACAAACATTTATGCGTCATATTCCAATTCCTTTATACTTTTTATTAATAGGTGAATTTGTGACTAGCTAAAGAAGCACAGCAGTACCACTTCGTGTGTGCGTAAGCGTTCATTACCGCTTCTAATTGCTACACAACTCAACAGGGCTTAAACCGATTTCCATCTCTGCCTCAACTGCTATCATGGCGACTAAGTGGACCGAAGTAACCCTTCTCAACACACTCATCTCAGTAACCGTGACATAGTTGAGTAGTGCAGTCGGTGAAACGATCGTCCATCAACTACAAAACGAGTAGTTCTTTTTTGTGACTGTAGTTCAACCAGTTCACCAATAACAGGAGGTGAACGAACCAATTGCCAATCCTTGTGGTTATTTGCTGCACCTGTGTTGCATTCATCCTAAAGAAAGATACAATTATCAGCGGTACATTGGTACTTTGTACAGGTGCTTCACTGCCACACAACTAGCACGACACTACTGATACAGAAGGAAAAGATGGAAGAAGCGGCACATGTAAAACCAAGTGCCCTGAGCACACATCCAGGATCGTCCAGTTTGAAGTTTGAGAGAAAAATAAGGCCACAACCAGCTAGCTAACGTGAGGTGATAAGGCAGCAGCCTACACCTGGCTTCCTTGTGACCTCCGCTGTTTTTTAGTTTACCTTACAGAGAACTCGGAACTATGCGCAATTTCAACTGGTAACTCGGCTAGGAAGTAACATAGTGATGTCACTGACGAAGGCAACGAACCGCGATCTGCAGTAGCCCAGATCAGCCACAGGGTATGACCTGAACTTCAGCCTTGAAAGCGAGACGGACGAATGGCGCCCAAGTTAATCGTCAGCAGCTCAATTTCCTGCACCCATTGAACGGTTAACTCTCTCCAATTTTGTTCTGTCCTGCTTCAGTCAGGCAAAAACAAGGCCGTTCTCGGTAGGCTGTACGCAAACACGTGTCTAAGCAGTGCAACTTCCTTAGCACTTGCGAATGATTTAGCGCACCCACCTGTTCATCATCATGTGGTACTCGTCCAAGAATCTCTTCGCTATGAACACACTGTCTCCACCCGACATCGGCATTGCTTGTATGCGTTGATCACCATTATTCTACACGTCAGCTAGAGGTGGGGAACCGCCTTAACTATTGAGCCACAGTATGGGCTGATGGTGAAGGATATGGAGATAGATGAGTTCTTCGGAATGAGAATTCCAAATCCAATCGGTAAAGCGGAAAGAATGTTCACTATGATTTTGTTTGCGTAGTCCCCAGACTACAGAAAAACTCCTCGGGGGGCCGAAATTGCAGCGAGATTCATGAACAATAGAACAATGGTTTAATATGGGTTAAAAAACCAAAAGCTTAACAGGTCCCGTAGGACGGTCATGGTAAATAGAACAAAGGATTCATAAGATCCAAGCAAGAGCAAGTTCACGCCGATGAACTCATCGAGATATTTGCATTAAAAACTGCAAATCCCCTGCAAATCCCACAAAGAACGAAGACAAACGGGACGTTTGTGTAAGCCGCGTCACCTCCAGGTGAACAGGTGCAAACGGTGAAAGATATGGAATGGTAATGAAATCTCTAGCAGACGCTGACACTTTTAATGAGTTATGTGAGATGGTGCAAAGAAATGAGTGTACGGTCAACTCGCGCATTGAACTCTACCAACGTGGAAGCACAAATTTGAGATTCCGATATGGCATTCCATGCTTGACTAATACGTAGGAAAAATACATCTCTACGGTGTTCCCAACAACTGTGCTGACTTGCCAGCTTGAGATGGCGGCCACTGGTCAATCGTAATAAGGTCTGCACACAATCGCCTATATTGTTCGCCGAAGAACTCGAGCACTCTCAGCTTTGGTTTTAAAATAACTGGAACAAGCCTCTGACATTTTGGGTTAGCCGGCGTCGAGGTAGTATCACTAAAGCTATGAGATCTCTCCTCAGCCGTGGAGGCCAGCGCGGTATTAGATATTCCAAATGTGGACGGGTGGGTGCGCCGAAAAGCCACTGAAAAACCGTCGTGTCGAAGCGTCTGATTACAAGCCGCAGAAGGCCCATGAATTTTTAAAATGCCTATCCTTGATACCTTTTCAGCCTGATCCGAATAGCCAAACGCAACCTAGATCAACACACCCAACCCCTTTTCGTTGGAGAACCCTTGGAGTTCCTGGTTTCCAGTTGTTATATCAACTCGCTAACTGGTGTCATAAGTACAGCTGTTTGCCCTTTTTTCACACTGAAGTGAAGTAGATTCGGGCTTGACTATCCATAAACGCTATCCAGATCAGCTTGAAGTGGTGTGATATCATTTGGCGAATTGATCCCCATCCACATCTTGACGTCGTTCGCATAGACTAGACATTTCGAGCTTTTGAGGTGCGTCATAAAGTTGCTATAGGCCAAGGACAACCGTGGCTAAAGCACCGATACCTGTGGGACTCCGCTTTCGGCTTCGTTGGGATCTGATATGTTTCTACACATCTTTGCCTCCAATCACTCATGAAGGAGAAAGCTACTGATCCATCATAGGAGAGTATCACCAGTGCCAAAACCGTGGAATTTGGAAAAAGTAGGGTGTTATATCTAACCGGTCTAATGCTTTTGAGAAGTCGAGATAAACCACATTGACCACCGCGCTGGTGTCTACTGCTTAGATCCAGCTTGATCGTGCTATCCGTTGACTGGTAGTCCACGACCGATTTCGACTGAAGCAATGCTGTGCTAATGCAACGTACGTGCCTTCTTCCAAGTAGGTCGTGAGCACATCGGTAACAATCGCTTCCATAACCTTTGAAAGCATAGGTAGAAGCGTACCATGACGGTTGTTAGCTGGATCAGAACGACTTCCTTCCTTGTGAATTGAAGTCAAGATCCCATATTTCCACATGTCTGGTACGTACATTCCTCAAAACAACGCCCTAAGAATCAGTCCAAATACTCAGCTAAGCTGTCTCCTACCACCGTTACCGGATAAATACTATCAGCTCCGAAAGAGTTGTGTTTACGAGTACACAACGGTTTGTTGAAGTTTCTGTCGTTACGAACAGCTCCGGGTGTTTCGCTCAACAACCTAGCTGGAAGAGCCTTCAGGACCCGGCTCAGTCTTCTTTCTCTACCCGTGCAAACTCACCGGCACGTAGTCCAACCGTTGAGAGAAGCCCAGTTTCACCTGGCATAAACTGTCCTACGAGCACTGGCGTCCCAGAAAGTGACAGTCTGAGTGCCTAAGACCAGTGGAAAGAACAAAGAACTAAATTACGAAAGAATGCTAGGCGTTTACCTTCTCAAAATCAACAGCTAGCCAAACCATGTGAGGCTCGTAATATACTTCGCCCTGCAAGATCAACCTCGTCCGACCAGAGGCGTTTTAACTTCTTGATCTCCCACTCGCCGAAGTTCATTGATCCATGTCCTCATGTGCGCTACGATCACTATGTCGTTCTTACAGAGTCTAATTGACAGACTCCTTGACGCTGGTGAGGACTCGGTAAAAGTGAAGTAAAGTACCGGTCTTGGAAAGCAAGCTGATCAACAAACTCGGTCTACGAGAATAGCTTCTGTGGACGATGCCAGTCCAGGACTGATCTTGTCCCGTCTAAACAGGCTGAAAGGTTTGTAGATTTATGTTCGTCCAGACCTGGACCCAATAGAGCTGGATCGGCTCAAGTCTGTCATCATTGAGCTGAAAAGACGTACTGGTGAGGGGGGAACAAATCTTCGTATTGTACATTTTTTTGGGTAGTTTCCAAGAATCTGCGAATCAGGATAAACAGGTTGCTCACACATCAAACACGTCCGACGGTTTTGCTGCGGCCTGCCTGTAGCCTTTACCAGCGTTTGGAGTGTTATGAACAAGAGCAATGGGCTTTATCGTTACGTTGCGTCTGAGCGCCCAGACATAGTGGAACTCCCAAAGACATGGCTGCATTCAGAAGTATACACGCAGGAAATTGAACTCAGTGGTTACTCGCGCTTTCGCTGCGATAAACTGACGAATGCCTGCGGTGGCATCTTGCTCTACATTCGGTCTTCCCTGCTTGGGAGACTTGTCAGCATCTACCGAAGTAACGATGATCTGTGTGAGCTACTGTGGTGCTCCACCCATCTCAGGGGCAAAGAACTACTTGTGAGCGCAGTCTATCACAGCCCCCTGAGTTATTGTTTGGATTGGCTGCCCCGTCTACGAACCCACATGAGTCGTCCGCATTTTCTAGTTATGGGCGATTTTAACTGTCCTCTCATACAATGGCCTGATGTGCATGTGACGCCTGGATTTAGTGAGGTGGAAGTAAAGTTCGTGGATTTGGTACTTGTAACTGGTACATCGCAACACCTATGCCAACCAACGCGCATAACACCACGCGCAACCCCGTCCTGTCTCGACCTGATGTTAACTAGCTACGAACAACGAGTGGATGACGTTCGGATCCTGGAGCCCCTGGCTACAAGTGACCACTCAGTGCTCATAGCTGATTTGAAATTATCTTTGCTGTATTCACGTCCGCTGGAACCAGCTTACAACTACTGGAAA